GCCATTTGGTTGTCTCGATTGGCTACGAACTTAGAGGGCGAGGCAGCAGTCGCCGCGCAGTCTGCGCCTGGGTGTTCGCACTTCGTCTGGGGCTTCTACGTCGGCACATCTCGGCTGGGGGCGCGGCCATGGTGAGCTACATCATCGTCGGGTATCTCGTCGAACTCAGTGGACGTAACTTATTTCATGTCTGACTTCGTCAGCGGTCCAATTCCCAGTCCCATCCCCATTCCCATTCCCAATCCCATTCCCATTCCCATTCCCATTCCTCCTCCTCCTCGTTCTCCTCCTCCTCGTCCTCCTCGTCCTCCTCCTCCTCCGCCTCCAGAGCACATGTGAACAAAGGGTAGCGCACCAGCGGACCCAGGAAACTGCAGCACGCAAAGATTACTCGACGCGGAGATCCGCATGTGTGCATCCTGTAACTCCTATCACGTCTCGCTGAGGAGCTCTATATGTAAACATCTCGGTGTGAGAGCGAGCCTGCGTACTGGGCTTAGACGATTGTACACGAGTCGGGACATCAACTTGCACAGGAGAGGAATGATCGCAATTAGTCGATAGTTCTGCGGTAGCTTGGGGCCCCCAGCTTTGAAGATTACGCTTATGGTAGTACGTCTCCATTGTTCTCGTGGTAAACAATATGGTTGTATGATGTCGTTGAGTAAGCATTAAAGGTGTTGCTCTATGCACGTCCCGCCGGCCTTCGACATTTCTGCATTTGCCATTTTTGAATTGCTTGATCGCCTGGTTTACCTCTTCATGTGAGAAGGGTGGTATGGGGACGTGGGTCACGCCGGTGTCGGCGCTCCTGCGGGGTGTGTCGGTGTCGCGCGGCGCACGCTCGTTGTGGAAAACGTTGCGCCGGTAGAGCTGCTCGTAGCCTTTGTCGATCAGTGACGTCGTGGCCATCGCGCCTCGTCATAGTCGGAATCATTTTTGTTGTGCTTGGTCGTTTGGGCGCTCGCTATCATTCTTAGGCCCTTGAAGCAGATGATGTCCTTGATCTTCTCACGCCGCCGGGCCCGTTTCAATGACCGCAGCTCCTTGTAGATATGTTTGCTACTCGTCTTGCGGGCCACGGTGTCCTCCTGTGGTGTGCTGCGTCGTTGGGCTATGAGGTCACGGAGTTGCTGGTTCTGCTCGTTGTCGGAGTCGCAGTGGTGATTGCTATTGGCATGGGCGTGCTTGGTCTCATGGAGTGCCCTTGCAGCTATCAATGCTCGTTCGATGTTAGTGCATACCTCGCTTACTGTTGAGTCTCGCGAGCGTTCTTGCAACGATTATGTCAAGTGCTGCTGAAAATGTGGAACGTTCGCTGGTGGTCGTCCTGCTGGCATTGTCTTCTGTTTCTTCCGTTTCCGCCGTCGCTTCACGGACGAAGCAGACAAGTCGAGCCGCACACGAATAGCTTTGTGGTCGGCGCCGACATCTGTGCACGCGGACGCGTGAGTATCAAGAACCATGGATCGGAACGCCCGGTCGATGAGGACGTAGTCGATTTGTGAACGTGTTCTGCCTGAGCTGCTCCTGGTGTATGTATAGAAATGGTGTGGGTGTTTGTAACAGTGCGTGATCGTGATCAGTAGTTTCTCATTGTTCGACTATGCTCGTAACCATATGCCTCTGGCGCTGCACGTCCCCATTCCAAATGTGCCCACCATTTTGTTCGGTGTGACCTGCTCGTCGTCGTTGTCCGTCTCGTCGCAGATGCTCTGAACCCCAACTTGCGCATTGAAATCGCCTGCCAGTATTGTCATCATTCGCTGCTGGGCTGTCTCTTTATAGAGGGCGGAGAGGATGTCGTATACCTGCTGCACGTAGGTGTCGCCGTAACCACCGTGAGGAAAATACGACGCGATGATCCTCATGTACTGCTCTGGCAAATCCAAGTCCCAATAAGCCATCCTCCTGATGGTTGTGAAACTCTTTATGAATCGGGCATGCCGGCTATGCAACAGAATCGTCACCCCTCGTGAATGGCGATCATGTCCTGCAGCTGCAAGTATGTGTGTTCCAGGTGAAGTGGTCCACATCCCTTTCTCTGCCGTCCTCCATGTTTCATTGATGGCGATCGCGTCCCAATGCACGTCGGCTATCTCATGGAAAAGTGTGTCAATGTCGCCATTCGTTGTCAGGCTGCTGGTATTATTGTGTATGAGTGTAAACTGAGTTTTGGTCGGGGTTGAAGGTTCGAGGTCATTACTTGGACATGGGAGGTTGGAGCTGGACGGTCGTGCGTGCGTCGCGCAATTTGGAGGTGGAACCTGCAAGGTGTGAGCTGGCGCCGAAGAGGTGAATATCTGCCCCCGTGTCGAAGAGGAGAAGGAGGAGAGAAGGAGGAAGGAGGCCCCGAGGCGTCTATGTAATATTACAAGCCCGATCTTAGGATATGGGGAAAAAGCATGCTGCTCTGTGCCAACCATCAGCTTCAACTTGAGCAGAAATGGCAGCGGAGGATAAAAGGGGGGAAGAGCAGGAAAAGAAGAAGAAGAAGAAGAAACGAGCGCAAGGATGGGGGCTCAAGGTGAAGAGGGGGAGAAAGGGAGAGGAGAGAAGGAGCCAACATGGATCCTCGAACCTCGATCCTCGCAGGGAGCGGGAACTGAGGGCCCAGCGAGGGTCATGGAGCCGAGGTGCAGGTTGGCGACCTTGCAGTCCTCTTCAGCCCGCGTCTCACAACGCTCGCATCGCCAACGCCGATCGGCGTGGACGTCCATGGCGGTGGAAGCGGCGCGTCCTCCTCCTTGCTGGCCCTCTCGCAATCACCCTCCCAGCTTCCCGCTCACCCTCGATTTCCATATTCTGCTCACGCCTTAGAGCCGCGCGCAGTCGTAGGGTTGCGGTCCCCAGAATGGTGGTCTGGCAAGGCTTCGTCTTGCCAGGACGCAGCAGACACGTTGACTCGCCGTTGGAGTTTCAGGACTAGCGTCCTGGAACAGTGTCGGATTACAAGGGCGCAACAGTCACGTTTAATCGCTGCGTTGAAGTACCAAGAAATGTGTCTTGTCGCAATTCCTGGGTCTCAAGCGCTTACCTTGAAGATGGACCACTTCCCGCAATGAAAAACATTGTACGGGCCTGTGAAGGTGAAACTTGGGAGGGTGTGCTGCAACCTTGTTGAGGCGTCTTGGGATTGCACTGGTCCTATTCCTCCTCCGCCTCCTTTAACAGCATCATCTAAATCAGCAGCATCGGCATGAGCATCAGCCTCAGCAGCAGCATCATTGTCACCATCATCACCACCACTATCAGCATCAACAACAGCAACAACAACATCACCATCAGCATCAGCATCATCGTCGGCGTCCTCATCCTCACCGTCATCCTCCATCACGGTCGCCAGGGTGGCAGGTGGCGCATGTCTACACCATCATCAGCATCATCATCAGCAGCAGCATAATTAGCATGCTCCTCGTCATCACCAGCAGCAACAATGTCAACATACTCATGATCATCCGAGTCGTCAGCAAGATCATCATCCGTGTCCTCATCATCAGCAGCATCAGTATCGCCATCATCACTAACATCAGCATCAGCATCATCACCAGCATCATCAGCAGCATCAGTATCTTCATCATCGTCATCGTTATCGTCGTCATCATCATCATTGCCAGAATCCTCATTATCATCCTCATGAGCATCATCATCGTCGTCATCATCATCAGCAGCATCATCACCATCCGCATCCTTAATTACCAGGTTGGCAGGTGGTGCATGTCCACAGCAGCAGGGGGAGATTAGGAGTAGGGGAAGAGGAGGATGAGGAGGGGAATCAAAAGGGGGAAGACTCGAAGGTGGCCAAAGATGAGGAAGACAAACAAACGACACATTAGAGGGGGAAGACGCGGATACGGAAAAGGGCGAGGAATGGGGAAGGGATAAAGAGGGAGAAGGAGGCCAACGACGACGATGGCAATGTGCTGGATGAGGAGAGGAGGGGTGATCAGGAGCAAGAGCGTGAGCACGAGAACAGCGTCGCACACCAAAGACGATGAACATAACAAGGACACCGTATGTCCAACGAGTGTGTCAAGATCGTTGCTGGCCGCCTACAAATTCGCCGGCCCAACGGGCCAGAGGCGTGCTAAGATCTCCGGTAACTGGTTAACAATTCTCTAGTTCGCGCGCGCGGGGCGGCCCCTGGGGGTCCCCGGACGAAAAGTACCCCGACCGACCCCCGGGCGATCCCCGGGAGACTCCCCCAGAGCGCTCCAGGAGCGCTCCATGAGCGCACCAACAGGGCTCCGAGACGTCCCCGAGAGCCCCAAGAAAGGCCAAGAGGCCCCCAAGAGGCCCCCAAGATGGTACACGAGGGGTCCGACATGCCACAAGATCGCTCCAAGACGCCCAAGATAGCCCCCAGACGCCCCAAGAGGCCTCCAAGAGCACTCCCAAGAGGGCCCCCGGAGGCAAAATTCATTGTTTTTCCTTAGGTTTTTGAGAGATTTTGGAGCTTCCACCTTTTCGGCTTCCCGACGCCCCAAGACGGCCCAAGAGGCCCCCAAGCTCGCCCCAAGAGGGCCCAAGAGGCCCCCAAGAGGGCCCCAAGATGGCCCAAGAGGGCTCGAAGACGGCCCAAGAAGCCTCCAAGACGGTCCAAGAGGGCCCCAAGAACGCCCCCAAAGGGGCCCCAGAGAGGGAACACGAAACAACATTTCGAGCCCTCGGCCCTAAGAAGCCCCTACGAGGCCCCAAGAGGCCCCTATGAGGCCCCAAGAGGCCCCCACGAGGCCCTCAGGAGGCCCCCAAGAGTCCCCCAAGCGGCCCCAGGAGGCCCCAAATGCCCCCCCGAGCGCCCCAGGAGTCCCCCAAGCGGCCCCAGGAACCCCCAAAGCGCCGCATTGACACCAGGCCCTCGGGCAAACGGCAGACATGAGACTGTATGGGCCGGCGGAATGAGCGAAGCGATGAATATACAATCCAAACCCAGAGCGTCAGAGAAAACTGTGCTGATGGAGAAAGGCTTAATGACACTTTTTGTGCACAGTCCAATGCGTTCACATGACTCCGTTCAGCTCCCAAGACAGCTGATGTTGCACAGGCGCGCGGGGCGGACTAGCCGGGCTCATCGTCGGTGACCCATGCACCCTGTGTCTAGCCTGGGGACGCCGAAACTTTTCTTCGGGGACAGGGCGGAGGAAGCAGGAGTAGGAGAAAGGAGGAGCGAAGGAGAACCAGAAGGATGAAGAGGAGACGGAGCAGCAGGACGAGGAGGAGCAGGAGGGCAGAAGGAGCACGAGAAGGGACGAGGGAGAAGGAGAAGGAGGAGAGAGGAAGGAGGAGAGCGAGGAGAAAGAATCGAAGGAGAAGCCCAGCCTCTGAAGCAAAAGTAAAAGACGGTACGCAGCACTGGACTCAGAAAAAAGTTCAGGCTAAGGTTTTTCAGTATACTGCAGGCAGACCCCCACATGTGCCCATGCAATATGCTGCGGGCCCGTGGGAGAACAGTGAGCCCTCTCCCCTCCCCCCTCCCCTCCCCATCTTCCCTGTCCTTTCCCACTCTTCCCTTTCCCCCCCTCCTCCTTCCTTCCACCTTCCCCCCATGCGTACCCTCCTCGCCCGTGCCCTCCCCTCCAGTGCCTCCCCTTCCTCTCCTCCTGCTCCTCCCCCATCCACTCCCTGATCCATCAATGCACGAACGGCTACCCAGCACCACTGCAATCCCCAATTTGATGGTGCCCAGCCTCTGGAGAGCTGCCGCGCGACATCCCCGACAGAGTCCGCTCCTGGAGTGGTCGGGGGGGGGGGCAGCGCCGCGGCCGGCAGCAGGCCAGCAGCACGCCGGCTCCCGACGCGCACCCCAAGTTCATCCTCCTGCTGCTGCTCGGCACCCCACCCCGTCCTCTTTCCTCCCCTCCCCTCTCCTCGACCTCCCCCCTGGACGCCCGGCATGGGTACAGACAAAAATGGGCACGACGTCCAGCAACAAATGCTTTCCAAGACCAACCACTGCCGCGGCGGCACCGACAGCAAGGCCGGCTCATGGATGAGAACTGCTGCCGGTCTTCGTCACCATGCTTTCCGTTCCCAATTCGATCCTCCAAATCCTCCCCCTTCCCCTCCGACTCTGACCAACCGTGCCGATCGACCAAAGGCTTGCCATTCATGATCCTTCCCCTCTGGTACTCGTCCTGGCTACTTGTCATCCGGTTGACACGCATGCTCTCGCAGTTCCCTCCTAGTCCTGCCTGCTCGTCACCGCACCAGCGGTCGGGCGAAACATCGCGCCCGCCCCCCCCGCCCTCACCCCCCTTCAACCGGCCCTGCCCTCCACCCACTCATCCACCCCCCCCTTCTGGGCAACGCACCGCTCTCCCCAAGAGAACCTCTGTGGCGAGTGACGGCAGGCAGACACCACGGCACCATGCGATGTTCCAGCCATGCAAAGACACCGAAGAGACCATCTGACGCGCCCATTGCCCCAATTCCTCAATCGCTCTCCCCATCTCTCTCTCTCTCTCTCTGTCTGTCTCCCTCTCTCTCTCCTTCTCTGTTTCTCCCTTCCTCCCTCTTTCTTTCTCTCTCTCTCTCTCTCTCTGTCTTTCTTTCTCTCTCCCTCTCTCTCTCTCTCTCTCTCTCTTTTTCTCTCTCTCTCTCTCTCTCTCTCTCTCTCTCTTTCTTTCTCACACACACACACACTCTCTCTCTCTGTCTATATTTATCTTGGTTATCTCTCTGCGTCCGTATATAATCATCCATATGCCTCTCGCTCCCTCTAAATATATTATGGGTTGAGTGATTGATTGGTTAGTATGATATACATGGGTATGTGTACACTCGTGTATAACTGTGTACACACACGCGCATGCATGCGTAGTTAGATGCACGCACATGTTGCACATGATGTATTAACATAGCGTGCACACATAATGGTATGGTTATATGAATGTGTCTATCTACGCGCACACATCCATACATATATATAAATATGTATATATATATATATATGGATCAGGTGTGCACCCGCCCCATCCGCATTTATGGCATGCGTGCTGTATGTACAGAAAGAGAGAGAGAGAGAGAGACAAAAAAAAGTCTAAACAATGCCTACAACACTTTCATATAAGCGAATACCCGTATAATGCACGTGTGTATATATATATATATATACACACGACGTGATGTCTAAATTCACCACCGTGCCTTCAGCACGTAGTGGGCTTCCCCTAAGCTCATGCAACGAACCGGTGGCTCAAAGACTCCCGGAACGTAGGATCTCGAGGAGCCTAGCCACCCTCTGCCAAAATCTCATGGGTTTCCTGGGGCGTGTCGGCTTGCGCCAGGGGAGCTTTTCCGGAGCCCGAGGGCCCCAAGACGGCCCAAGAGGGTCCCGAGGATCCCAGGTCGTCCAAAGATCGCTCAAAGACTCTCAAGAAGGCCTCAAGACTGTCCAAGAGGACCCCACGACGCCTCAGAAGGAGCCCCAAGAGGTCCCCAAAGCAAAGAGTCCTCCAAGATCGCCCCAAGCCGGCCAAAGAGGCCACTAAGACAGATCCGCCGACCCCATGTGCTTGACACAGTGGCCCCAGGAGGCCCCAAAAGGGCCTCAAGAGACCTCCTCGTCTTCCTCATCATCCTCCTCCTCGTCCTCATCCTCCTCCTTCTCGTCCTCCTCCTCAACATCCTCCTCCTTCTCCTCCCTCTCGTCCTCCTTGCCCTTCCTCTCACAAGTTTTCCCCCCAAGAAGATCCACGGCCCAACGCTTGGCCGCATGGACGTTTCAAAAAAGGCCGCAGGAGGTGGTGATTCGCCGCAGGCGTCTTCGATCTATCATGTATTATCATGTATATGCAGGCGCATGGTTGTACCTATAGATGTAGGTTTGTCTGTGTCTATAAATAGAAATGTATACAGAGTCCCTTGTCTAGATTTCCGGGCCATCCTGTGGTGTTGGGCCCTCGCTTTGAAGAAATAGCGCCCCGCGTCTCCCTCCGGATGCCCCCTCCTCCCTCCTCCCATCCCCGCCTCTGCCCTCCGCATGTCCACCAATCTGGCACACCCCTCACACGCTTCGAGGCCCCAAAGGGAGCTCCACCGACGACCCCAATAGCAGGGCCCACACGGGCCCGCACGACCCATTTCGGCACGCCCCTCACACGCTTCTTGGCCTATAGGGAGCTCCACCGAAGTCACCAATGGCAGGGCCCACACGGGTCCGCACGACCCATTCCGGCACACCCCTCACACGCTTGGTGGCCCCATAGGGAGATCCACCGAAAGCCCCACTGGCACGGCCCACATGCGCCCGCCTAGCCCATGTCGGCACACCCCTCACACGCTTCGTTGCCCTATATGGAGCTCCACCGAAGGCCCCAGTGGGACGGCCCACATGCTCCCGCTCAACCCATTTCGGCACGCCCCTCACACGTCTCGTGGCCCCATAGGGAGCTCCACCGACGGCCCCAATGGCAGGGTCCACATGCGTCCGCCCGGCCCAGTTCGGCACACCCCTCACACGCTTCGCGGCTCCACATGGAGAGCTCCACCAGAAGCCCCAGCGGGAGGGCCCGCATGCGTCCGCCCGACCCGTTTCGGCACACTCCTCACACGTTTCGTGGGGCACACCCATCACACGCTTCGTGGCTTCACAGAGAGCCCCACCGAAGGCCCAATTACAGGGCCCACGTGCGTCCGCACGAGCGACTTCGGCACTCCCCTCACACACTTCGTGGCCCCACAGGGAGCGAACGAACGAACGAAGCTGCCGTCGCCGGGAAGCCGGCGTCCCTGCCAGGGGGGCAGGCGCGCTGGTCGCGCGCATGCCTCCTAAGGGGGCCACTAGATGTGTGATTGCGCCCAAATCATATGAAACGCGAAACGTTTGCACGAGAAGTCGTGCGGTCATCGCCATGCGTGCTGCAGAAAACCGCGCGCTCTCTCTCTCTCTCTCTCTCTCTCTCTCTCTCTCTATCATGCCAGACAGTCTCACTCGATGCCTCGTGTGGCCCCACAGGGAGCGCCAACGAATGCCCCAGTGGCAGGGTCCACATGCGCCCGCCCAGCCCATTTCGGCACACCCCTCACACGCTTCGGGGCCCCGCAGGGAGCTCCACCGAATGCCCCAGTGGCAGGGCCCACATGCGCCCGCCCAGCCCATTCCGGCACGCCCCTCACACGCTTCGTGGCCCCATAGAGAGCCCCACCGAAGGCCCCAGTGGCAGGGCTCACATGCGTTCGCCCGACACATTTCGGCACACCCCTCACACGCTCCGTGGCCCCATAGGAACTTCCACTGGAGGCCCTGGCGGCAGGGTCCACGTGCGTCCGCCCAACCAATTTCTGCACATCCCTCACGCGCTTCGTGGCCCGATAGGGAGTATCCCCGAAGGCCCCAGCGGCAGGGTCAACATGCGCCCGCCCAGCCCGTTCTGGCACACCCCTCAAAGGTTTGTGAGCCCATCGGGAGCTCCACCGAAGAAGACTCTGCAGATGTCTGGGTCCTTCGCCGAGATAGTTCTACGGGGTGCGAGCCCCCCCCGCAAAACGGGACCCCCGGTTCCTTGACCCTGGGCTTTCCCCTGGGCGCCCCTGCAGAAGGTCCCCCAAGCTTTCCTGGGCTTCTAGAAGCCCCTGCTGGGCCGAGGCAGCGGACCCAAATCGGTCAGGAGGGCGGCCGAGCGGCTCCGCGAGGACCCCAAGAGACTCCAGACATCCACCAGACGCTCGAAGACGAACCAAACAAGACCCTTCAGGGGCTTCCGAAATGCAGAGAACATGGATCCCCCATGATTATGGCATGATTCTGGGAATGCTCAGTTCTTCGGTCCTCTTGGCGTCCGAGACCGCCCAGGAGGCCCGAAAATCGCCCCACAACTACTTAGAAGGGCTCCCGGGCAGCCCACGAGAAGCCCCAAGACGGCCCAACAGGGCCCCAAGATGGCCCGAAGAGTGCCCGATGACGGCCCAAGATGGCCCCAACAGGCACCCCGAACGATTCAAAATCGTGACCAGGTCGTTCAGGAAGACGGCGGTTAGAAGCAGGGTGGCCCGAGGAAGCCCTCGAGACCCCCAAAAGGCACCAAGGAGGCCTCCAGAAGGCCCCAAGAAGCCCTTGACAATTTCGTGAGACCACTCCACATGAGGAGCCTCCGCAAAAAGAGCGTAGGAGGACTGGGACAAGTTCGCACAGGGCGAGAATGAGAAAGAGGAAGAAGAAACATGAGGGAAAAACCATGGATGCCATTATTATACCGACGATGCCGGAAAAAGGCAATCGCGAACTGTTCGGTCCAGCCCTTCCGCCTGCATGCCCAACTTCAAAGACCAAGGTGGATGGCTCGAAGCGCCAATGCAGTCTTGCATATATGTACAGATCGATATGAAAATACACACACACACACACACACACACACACACACACACGCCTGAATAAATGTAGCTACATACATGTACCATGACGTATTTCCCTGCGAACACCCATCCGTATCATCCCCCGCTCCGATTGCGCATCGAATCCACTTCCCTGTAGGGGGATATCACCGCATCCATTGAAGAGTCGCTGCCCCCCTGGCAACGAGCGCGGACAAGGGCTCGAATCGCTGCGGAATTCCATGTCGGTAGGGGTCGAAAGTGGCCGGCCAGGGAAACGTCACCACAAGCGGTGGAGGAGGAGGAGGAGGAGGAGGAGGAGGAGGAGGAGGAGGAGGAGGAGGAGGAGGAGGAGGGAGGGGGAGGAATAGGGAGGGGGAGGAGGAGGAGGAGGAGGAGGAGGAGGAGGAGGAGGAGGAGGGGAGGAGGAGGAGGAGGAAGAGGAGGAGGAGGAGGAGGAGAAGGACGAAGACGATCATTCAGCCGACAGAGCGCCCATCTAATGCCGCGGAGACGGTTCCCCTCGCTCTGCAAAAGGAGCTCTCCCCTGCGAGATGCACCAGGCAAAAATCCGGAGTCGCGCGAGGGCCAACCTGCGACAGGCGAGCAAAACCGCGAAGCCTCGGCCTGTGCACCGAAATGGGAAGAGCGGCTTCACCCAGCAACGCAGCAATGGGACGCACAAAGACATACTAGTACTCTACGGTCTTCTTGGAGGCGCGCGCCCGACCCGAACATATAGTACACCCGTCTTGTAGCACATACTTTCCCGAGCGGTGTGGCCAGAAAGCGCCCGCCGCGACACATATACTATAAGACTTCTCAGTGCGCGCGTCCCCTGGGGGGCGACGCACATATAGTATAAGTGTGTTGGGGTGACGCCGAGCTAGCAAGGCTGCCCTGCGAACGTGGCCGAAACTCTGGCCCCAGGCCCCCGCGCCCGAAGAGCTCCGTGCGCCACCGCCTCGACCTGCACGCTGCCGGAGACGCAGAGCGGTAAGAGAGACAAGAGAGAGGGCGAGGGCTGGCAGAGACGCGCCCGCGACCCCAGATCGGCGGGCGATGAGCCACAGGGCAGTGCGAAGTGAACTCTCACATGTATGGAAGTTCCCTGGGGCGCTCCAAGCGGCAAGCGGCGAAGGCTCGGGGAGGAACGAACGGCCGCCCGCCAGCCCAGGGCCCGCCCACGCTTGCACAACAGGTGCGGCTGCCGTCACGCACTCGGTCGGAGCGGGCGCCCTTTTTCGGGGGGCCCGCACAGACACAAGACGTGCACCTACTGCACTTTGGACCAGAGGGAACAAGGAAACGTGCGACCCCAGAGATGCTGGGGGGGGAGGATCCGAGGGAAGAGGGACGCAGAATGGGGTAACGCTCCGACGCAGCCGCAACCGCGCTGCATGGCTTCCAAAACTGCTCGGAACCTTGCCTATCGCAAGGCAACAGGGTGCCGTGCGCGGGTCGCCACTGGCCAACTGGGTGGAAGCGAAGGGGAGAAGGCAGAGGTTTTGGCGCAGCCTCCGATTCGAATGAGGGCTGGCGGGGAAGGAGCGGGGGGAGGCGATGGACTCCCGCCGTCACGGTCCATCAGCAACCTGCACAGGCCGAGCCTCGTAACAGGGTGTCGGCCACCAGCCCACGGCTCGGCCGCGGCCCGGCGCCAGCACCCCATGAGCGAGGCTCTCGCGACCAGACGGAACCTCTCCTGTGCGCCATGCCCGCACAAAAAGAGGACGCTGCCTGGCCTCGACGATCGAGGTGGCCACAACCTGGTCCCGCCTACGACCGCTCCACGCTGGCGGGGCGGACCGGACGGGAGAGGTGGGGAGGGGAGCGCGAGCCGATCTCGACGGATGGGACGCACAGAGACATACTAATACTGTATGTCCGCCTTGGAGGCGCGCGTCCGACCCGAACATATAGTATACCCATCTTGTAGTATATCGTTTCTCAAGCAGTGTGGCCAGAAAGCGCCCGCCACGACGCATATACTACAAGATTTCTCGGTGCGCGCGTCGCCCCTGGGGGGGCGACGAACACATAGTATAAGTATGTTGGGGGGATGCCGAACGGACTCGGCGGACTCCGCAGGCACCGCGCGAAGCTGCCACCTGTTCGATGGACAAGCCCTCCTGCCTGGCGCGCCCGGCGCCGTGCGGTCGACGCCTGCCCCGGCCCCGGCGCGCCTGGGCCGCCACCGCGGGGCCGCATCGCGGATCCAGGAGACGGAACCGCCCAGCGCCGCGGCCACGAAGCCAGGGAGGGGTGAGGAAGAATGCAGGGGAACTGGGACACACAAATAAATACACACAAATAAACATATCCCCCATATTTTCCCATATTTTCTGGGTTTTTGTCTTCCCCCCCACTTCCCATATTTTCCCATATTTTCTGGGAATCGCCGATTAATTGTGTCTGTGTGTTTTTCCCCTCCTGAAAGAAGGGGCAACGATAGGGGGGGACTGGCATAGAGGGGGGGATGCATCGACCTGGAATCGGCGATACATCGCCGATAGATCGGCGATAGGCCTCCGATCGTGAATCCGCACCTTCCTGCGCAAGTTGGGGGCTATCGGGCCCCTATCGGCGATCAATGGGCGATTGCGTGTCGATGCATCCCCCCCTAAGCCTATCCCCCCCTATCGTTGCCCCTGAGAGGAAGAAGGGGATGGAGGGGAGGCAACGAGAGAGGGGCGCGCGCGCCGGCCGCTGCCCGCAAGCTCGCGCCGCCCGGGCAGCCGGAACAGACTGGAAGAAATGTACAGACAAGGCGGGGAGGGAGGGCGGGCTCGGCATGGGCGCCGGGGTCACGGAGCCCTGATCGGCGTCGAAACTTTGGAGTCCCGGAGCGGTGCGGTGACAGACCGTGCGGTGACCTCGAAATCCCGCAAGGCCTCACCGCACGGTCCGTCAACGCACGGTTTTGGGACCTCGGATGCCCCAGTCGCCCGAGACGCCCTCGGAGAACGACCCGAGTCCCAAAACCGTGCTGTGACCCCGAATCCCCACCGACTCACCACACGGTGTGGTCACCACCCCGTTTGGGGGCTCACGGAGCCCTGACTCTGGAGGTCGGAAAGGGGTACGGCATAAAGGGGTATGGTGCCAGTCGTGGAAATGGCGATGCTATCTGCGATAAATAACAGCGCCAGCTTCCCATGTTTATATATACTTTTGTATTACACATATATAGACACAACAAAAACTCATACCATACCCCTGCCCTACCTCCAGACTGACAACCGTCGAAACAAGGGGGCGGGATTGCCCGGGATGGGCTGGCTATTGTCGCGGCAGTGGCAGAAGGCAAAAGGGCGCGGCTCCGCGTGCCAAGGCCCTGGCTGCGGCGCGCCTCGGGCACGGCCTCTGCGCCCCCACCAAGGCCGGCCACTGCAGCCGTCGCAGCGTGAGCACCCGAGCAACCGCGTGGAGTGATCACACAGGAGTCAGTTTTCATCGCTGTCGCCCCCCTCATTTCCCCTCCTCCGCCTTCCCCTGATCCTCCTGCTCATCCCCCCGCTCGTTCCACTCCAATTCCTGCTGCTGCTGCTGCTGCTGCTGCTGCTGCTGCTGCTGCTGCTGCTGCTGCTGCTGTTCGTCGTCCTCCTCCTCCTCCTCCTCCTCCTCCTCCTCCTCCTCCTCCTCCGCCTCCTCCTCCGCCTCCACCTCCGCCTCCACCTCCTCCTCCTCCTCCTCCTCCTCCTCCTCCTCCTCCTCCTCCTCCTCCTCCTCCTCCTCTGCACGCAGCTTCAATTTCCGATTGCGCATAGCACGATGGTCCTTGGGGGGGAATTCAAGGTCGGCTATGACAAGCATCCGCGGATAGAGAAAAACCAGCGCAATGGGGAAGGGATGGGAGGAAGGAATGGGATGTCAGATATGGCACGAGCGCACCTGGCTTGTCTTTCCCCCTCTCCTCCCCCTCCCTCCCTCCATCCCTCATGTCCATCCTCCTCTCTCCTCCTCTCTCCTCGCTCCTCGCTCCTCGCTCCTCGCTCCTCGCTCCTCGCTCCTCCTCCTCCTCCTCCTCCTCCTCCTCCTCCTCCTCCTCCTCCTCCTCCTCCTCCTCCGACGACGACGACGACGACGACGACGACGACGACGACGACGACGACGACAACGACGACGCCTGCGGCGGACATGACAACGACCTCGAGGAGGACACCAGGAGAGCCCCTCCTGAAGCCATCATGCCACCACAAGAGGTAGAGCAGAGCAAGGAACAGAGCGGCCGTCGGGCCGCGGCGAGGCTCGGCCACGACCAGGCTCCTCGACCCAGTTCTCGAGACTGGCCCGAAAACGAGAGCCCCTCCCGAACCCCAAAGTGCTCCATGGCTCAGCGTCTCGACTGTACGCTTAAGTCGGGCGTGTCCCCCTAGAGGGTGATTTTGGACGAACAAATTAAAATATCAAAAAAATACCCAAAAGATGCCCAGACATATTAAAAAAATTGTCCCCAGACTATTTTTAAATCTGTCTGAATATGCCTCCTGTAGAGGGACAGGCCCGTCTTGACTGTACGCCCCGCGAGCCCCCTTCCGAGAGCGGAGGCGCGAGCGGCCCGCTCTGTCCATCAGGACGGCCTCGGCGAGGAAGGACTCGGAGTTCGACCGCTTCAGGGACGAGGCGGGGAGGTCCTCCGGGAGTCCCGCGCTCCGCCCCGTCCTCCCTGGAGAAGCCAGCCGTACGCAGTCACCGTCGGGTGTTGCTAGAAGTACCCCTGGTCCAAGGTACCCCCAGGACTCTCGGGGTGGCCCAGGCGGCCTCCAGGGCACCCCTCACGAGGCCCACAGGACCCCAGGGGCTCCAAAACGGAGCGAATAGCTGGGGGCACCTTGGACCAGGGGCACTTCTAGCAACACCCGACACCGATTCTAGGCAGGCCCACCCTGGTCCCCGGATTGGCCTGGCCAGAATCGGTGTTGGCGTACAGGCGGCGTTCCCTGATGCCTCCCCCTCCTCCTCCCCCAACGTCTTCTCACCAGGATGCAGGCGTGCCAGATGCAGGAGGGGCCTCCTACCCACCCGATGGATGTGCAGCTCCCCGAGCTGCCGCACCGCTCCTGGGGCGGCCTCCCGATGGCCGAGGCGAGCGCGACCTCGAGCGACATCTGGACCATGGAGGATCGTGATGGGCTCTGGTAAAAAGCTGTTTTCTGAGCGCAAGGTCCCTCCTCGGCCCCCCCCCCTGGAACAGGAGCTCCTGGGCCTTCCAGCTGTCGGCCCGCGCGGCCGCTCGACTCGGGGATGCTTACTCCCACTGGGCCTCCACCCCGGAGCTTGTCTCGGCTCGGCTTCCAGACGTCCCCGCGGAGCGTGCTGGTAACGGTGTAGGGTAGGACCACGCTCGCGCCACCGCACACCACCCACACGAGCCGCAGAGACCAGCCACGTCGCCCAGTGCTGGGGTGAGCTCCTCCAGCGTGCCAAGGTCGCTGAGCATGCTGCCAGGCCCACCCTGGAGCCTTGTCCCCCTACAACAGGGCTAGGATCGGGATAAATCGCTCCAGAGCGTTCCGGAGCGCTCTCAGAGCGTTCCGGAACGCTCTGGAGCGGCCGCGGCGCCCAATACATCCTCCAAACCCGCCGACTCTCACAGATTTCGAGTTCTCCCGATCCGATTATGTCCCGGTCTTCGCGTCGCTTTACCCCCTCTCGCCCCAGGGAGCCGAGGCCACCTCCCCGCTGCCGCAGCAGGCCTCTCGTGCCCCTTGCCGGCCCGGCCCTCGACCTCCTCTCTGGCGAGCCCCTGCAGCCTCGGGAGGCCTTGGCTCGGCAGGGCCGCCGACCTCTCGCCCGAGGAGTTCGCCATCCTTCGTGACGAGGAGGAGGAGGAGGAGGAGGAGGAGGAGGAGGAGGAGGAGGAGGACGAGGACGAGGACGAGGAGGAGGAGGAGGAGGAGGAAGGGCAAGATCCACGCCGCCACCGCGCAGCAGGCCGCCGCCAAGACTGCCGCCAGGTGGGCCTCGCTCGTGGGTGGTGGGGGAGGCCCTCCGTGGCCGAGCGGGCCAGCTCCACGGACACACCGGAGCCCCTCCCCCCACGGGCCCTGCACGACATCGCTTGCGAACCAGGGCGGGAAATCCGCGGCGAATCGGCGTGCTGTACCCCGACGGATTCTGGCACCCCCCCCCGAAAGGCCTTCTCGCTGCCATGGCCTGGACACGGGAGCGTCGGGCCGCTCGCTGGACGGCCCCTGCCCAGGGAGGGCCCAGGAAAGGGTGCGGCAAGCGTTGAGAAGAGCCCAGATCCCAGCCAGGGACGAGGACTGTCCCCCTCTAAAGTAATCGACACATAATCAAAGTTATCCTGGCGAAGGACCCAGCCACATACAGTTGTGGACACCGCAATTGTGAATATCTTCTTCGGTGAAGCTTCATATGGGGTCGCGACGCGGTGCACTGGGTGGAGTGGGAACGCATGCGGGCGGTAGTACTGGGGCCGTCGGTGGAGCTCCCTATAGGGCCACGAAGCGCTGTACTGGGTAAGTGAAAATGCCAAATTAGGTGTGTGAGACGCATGCGGGCGGTCCCACAGGTGCGTTGGTGGAGCTTCCTATGGACCACGAAACGCTGTACTGGGTGGGCGAAAATGCAAAATTGGGCTTCCTGGACGCATGCGGGCGGTCCAACTGGAGGCTTCGGTGGAGCTCAATATGACGCCACGAAACGCTGTACTGGGCGGGTGAAAATGCCAAATTCATGCGTCCCGGACGGTCCCACTGGGAGCGTCGGTGGAGCTCCCTATGGGGCCACGAAACGTTGTACTGGGTGGGTGAAAATTCCAAATTCACGCGTCCCAGACGGTCCTACTGGGGGCTTCGGTGGACCTCCTTATGGGGCCACGAAACGCAGCACTGGGTGGGTGAAAATGCCAAATTCATGCGTCCCAGACGGTCTCACTGGGGGCTTCGGTGGAGCCATAGGGCCACGAAACGCTGAACTGGGTGGGTGAAAATGCCAAATGCGTGCGTCCCGGACGCTCCTACTGGGGGCTTCGGTGGAGCTCCCTATGGGGCCACGAAATGATGTACTGGGCGGGTGAAAATGCCAAATTCATGCGTCCCGGACGGTCCCACCAGGGGGTTCGGTGGAGCTCCCTATGGGGCCACGAAGCGCTGTACTGGGTGGGCGAAACGCAGGGAGGAGGGAGGAGGGGGAGGAAGGAAGGAGGGAGGAACGCGGGGACCGTCTCTTCAAAACGAAGACCCAGCACCACAGGATGGCTGGGAAATCACCCAAAGAGCAGGACAAATCATCGCCACACTATTTGTCGCTATTCTTGAACACTCCGCCTGCAGAGGGGCATGCTCGCCCTCGCCCACCTCCGCACCTGCCTTGCCCAGGCCCCCGTCCAGACTGGCCGTGGGCTGGGCAACCGAGGGCCGCGGGACATCCAGGAGGTCGGGCCTGCGGGACAGAGGGCCCTCCTGGAGTCGCTCCATCAGCCTGAAGCAAACCTGGCCTGGCCCTGGAAAGCTCTGCCCGCTTCTCAAGCGGGCTTGACACTCGCAAGGGCCCTGGAGGAGAACGGGCCATCGCCCTGCTTGTTCGGCTCGCCCGCCTCTGGAGCCTGCTTCGGAAGGGGACTCCTCGGGGTTGGTTGGGCGATCGGGCGGGGCTCTGGGACGAAACGGTCCGAGGCAATGGTGCTCTGAGGGCGGCAGGAAGCCAGCATGTTCTGAATGACTCTTGCGACGATTTGGGGGGCAGCCACCTCTCCATCCTGTTTGACGTTGAGGACTTCTACGGCTCTCCCGACGTGGGGCTCTGCGTGGACCGCTGCCTCGACCTCGCCTACTCCCCCACTATCATCATCCTTCCAGCCGTCACTTGCTCAGGGCCCCGCATCATTAGGGATTGTTCGTCAATCAGCTTGCCGCTATCTCTCTCTCTCTCTCTCAATATTGCTGCAGACTGCCGAACAGCTAAGACAGCCGCTGCCGCTTGTTGCACCCCTCCCTGGACCGCATCAATCGGGATTTTTTACCCAGGGGAGTTGTTGCGAAATCCTGGGTCGACGATGTTAATTTTCGTATGGACGGTGGCCGAAAATCGCTCGTGCCCACGATTGCCGATGCTGCCGTCCACTTCGCCACTGGCCTTGAGGCTGACAGGTTGAAGCTTTCCCCCAAATCGGCCGTGACTGCGTGTGATCGTTGCCTCGCCCTGGGCCTCGTTACCTCCCTCCGCCACCATGGTATTCAGGTCAAGATCGAAGCTCCGAGCGCGGACCTGCGGACTTGGGCAATGAGCGAGGCCACCTCCGACGTTTCAGATGCATTCGCCACAGAGCCGAATAGGTTGAATAAGTTTTAGGCTGCCAAGCTCCGAAGCTCACTGGTTGGGCCAAGGGTTCGCGAGCCGCCCGATGTGTGGCGACCACGGGCATCCTGCCGATTGTAGCTTACCGCGCCAAGGTCCTCCCTCTCGCCCCGCGGCCCCTCGTCGTGCGTCGTGGGATGTTGGGCCGTTTTGTCACCGCCAAGACCAGGGGCCGATGCCTCACGACAGCCCTCCACCTCGACTATGGCGGTCGGGACCCAGGGGTGTCTGTTCCTGCTCGCGCTGTCCAGACGTGGCTCGAATGAATTGCCTCCTCGCCTTTGCTCCGGAAGCGGGCCACCCGAGAATGGCCCAGAATCGCTGCAGAACTTCCAGCCACGCACGCTCACAAACGGTGGCTAAACGTCGACGGCATCACCAGTGGCACCATTCATATTTTACGCTCGGCTGGTTGGGACCCCGGGGCCCCTTGACCTGGAAGCAAACTTGCGGCGACCTCTACTCCATTTCGAATGACGCCTGGGACCAGGACTCTGACTGGTCCACCATCCTCGGGCTCGTTCGTCAAGCCCTCCAGGTAGGCCTCTGGAGGGCCACCGACGAGCATCACAACGATAGAAGGCTCGAAGACGGAGCCGACAACCGACAAACACGGCCCTTCGCAGCCAGATGCGAGCGCTCGAGAAAAGAGGGGCGCTCAAACTGCGGGAAAACCTGGTCCATTTCCAGACTCGAGCAAGCCCGTGTGAAAATCGGGTCGAATTGCTGTCGACGTTGCCATCGGCATGCCTCGAGAAAGACAAGCTAGAACCGCTCCAGCACTCCAGCCACCTGGCCGACCAAGCTCGGACAGGATATATCGCCCACCGTGCTACTGGCTTCGTGGCCTCATCCCCACCGCCTGGACTCGACTTGACGAGCCACTGGATGACCTAATCTGCTCGGTTGACCCTCGCGTCACCCCTCCCGACCCCCTGCCCCTTACTACCTGCGCCCACCCCCGTTTGGGGCCTCTCCTTTGGAAAGGCAGGGGCGCGTCGGGAGGGCTTTGCTCTCAGCACCCGCGCCTAAGGCGCATCTCATGAGCTGCTGTTGCTTGCAACTTTGGCTCCGACCCCTGCCTGGCCCTTAGTTGTTCTTAAAAACGCTGGGGGCGTTTTCCCCGTTTTCAACTGTTCGTGTTGCGGTCGACCAAAACAGAAAAAAAACGGCAACCCAAAACAGAAGGAAAACGACACCCGCCAGCCCCAACCCCCCCCCCAAAAAAAAAAACGCAAAGCGAAAACAGTTTGAAAACGGAGAGCCAAAACAGAAAAAAACGGAGAGCCTGGCCCAGGACTGCCCCACAAAG